CCCGAGGCTTATCAGGCAGAAACTTTGTCACGTATTTCTACCATGTTCCTCATTTGGAATTGGAATAGAGGAAATGTGCCCATCGGCAAAGTCACTACTGCTTGGGACACGGAGATTATCTCGTTTAATCCTCCCCTTGATTGGATCTAGTGTGTAGGTTCTCAGTGTTACTTGGCCTGCTGGGCTCTTTTCAGAAAAAAGGTACTCAGCACCCCCTGGCATCCTCCAGGATAAAGTGTGGTTATCTGCCTTGGGGACGGTATTAGCTATTTTTGGAAAAACTACCCTTTCTCACCCTGACTGTTGGGCAGAATTCATGATAGATCCTTTGTTACGCACATAATTGGATGGTTGGTGAAAAGTGAAGCAGGCCAAGCCATTCTTGGGTACTACCTGCAGATTGCCTGGTGGCTGCTGGAAAGAATCTTTCTATGATTGAATAACTGCTTAAAACTAAAAACCAAAACAAAGTCAACCTCCTAAATCTTCTGGGAAGCCCAGCACATCCTTGAGCTTTTCCCAAAGTCTGTTTGCTTCTCTAGGTTCAGTTTCACTCGCTCTCCTTCAGAAGGCCTTCCCTACCCCCAGAGACCAGTCACTCGCCTGAGTAAGGGAGCAAGGACACAACCCTGGTCCATCTTCTGGCTGCTTGTATGTGACCTCCAGGGGATCTGAGATGTCTTCTCTCAGTCCCTCTAGCACACCTGGCTTATTAGTGTGCAGCACACGAGGGCACTCAGTTGAAGGAATGACTGCTCTATTTACTGAAGTGACCTTTGCGTCTAACTCATCTCCTCACATAAAAGATTGTCACATAAGCTCTTTTCGATTGTCACAGTGGTAAAGTTGAGCAGATAGTGAAGGATTGACCTCTGGCAATAACTTAACAAACGGCAGCATATCATTGGGAGTTCAAAGAGCAGGGCCCACCTGCTCATCAGAAAGGGAACTTTTATTTCCCCAGCAGGCCCCCATCGGAGGTGGGGTCCTTCCTTGTTATGGGTGGACTCAAAGCAGGTCTCTCACTGGTGCGGGTGAGGCCCCTGGTGGCCGTGTCCAGGGAACCACCTACTGCAGGTGTCCTCAAACTACGGCCTGCGGGCCACATGCGGCCCGCCAGGTGTTTTTGCCCCGTTTGGTTTTTAACTTTAAAATAAGTTATGTGCAGTGTGCATAGGAATTTGTTCATAGTTTTTTTAAAACTATAGTCCAGCCCTCCAACGGGTCTGAGGGACAGTGAACTGGTCCCCTGTTTAAAGTTTGAGGACCCCTGGTCTAGTGGGTACTCCAGCTTTATTTGGAAATCAGAATTGTCTTCAGAGAACAGGGGACCGTAACTCAGCAGTCAGAATTGCACATTTTCTTTGTGTTTTTTGGTTTGTTTTCCCCCTCAGTATGATTTAAAATGTAAACTTGCTGGGGCCATCTCTCTGTTGTGGGCGTGGTGAACCATGCCATCATGAACAAGGCTTCTGAGAGACTTGTCTCCACTCATTTGTTCTTCAGAACGATCGATACCTCCTTCCATCGGTTGGTAGAAAGAATTACTGCCATTTTTTTCTTGGCATCCAATTTTGTCCTTATAGGGTTTGAAAGAAGCATTGTGCATGACTTCATATGTATTCTGGAGAGTGGTGCGATTGTTTTTGTGCTTTTAAGAAACATTACTTTCTGTTTAATAGTCTCTTTCTCCTTTCCCCAGAGAATGGATCTTGGAGAATGTCTGAAAGTTCATGACCTGGCTTTACGAGCGGATTACGAGATTGCGTCCAAGGAACAGGACTTCTTCTTTGAGCTTGACGTAGGTGCTTTTTCTGTGATGGGTTAGATTTTTATCTCTCACAGGAACTTCCTTGCTTAGTGGCAGAGTTCTCTCCCATGAGTTCTTCTCGTGGGCTTTTTGGTTTGTTTGGGGTTTTTTGCCCACACACTTAAGTTCTTTTTCTTTTTCATACACTTAAATTCTTGATACACTTTGAATGTTTCATGTCGTAAGGAATTGAGGTATGAATCTAACATTTTTCTAAATAGCTTCCTAGTTGACTCAACATAATTTATTGATTACTACTAGTAATCCTTCACCTTTATATAGATAGTCTCAGATTTTTGTTGTAGTGTGCCCCTTGAGTATGTCCAACTCTTAATGAGGCAGATGAGAACCCACCAACCTTTCCATTAGCAATCAAGGATTTCACTATTGGGTGACCAGCTAAAGGTGTCATTTGGCTCTTTTTCATTACACAAGAAAAAATTAGTCTTAATTGTTTTCCACTACTAAGAAATTCTTTAACTGTTTTTAGTATATGATGTTTGCTGAATAAATTTATATTTTTAATTAATTGCTTGTATTTTGGATAAGCTATAGTTCCTTAGAATAATATTTCAAAGCCCATATTGCTTAGCTTGAGAACAAAATTTTAAAAATAGGCTATTATTTAACCGTAGATGGTTAGCATATAACTGTTAAATTTTATTTAATATAAAAATTAGATTGTATCTTTATAGAGTACACAATGCTAAAATTGCCCATGCTTTATTCTTTGGAAAAGAAAACCAGTCTTCCTGGTTGTAACATATCATTGGAAACCAGTATTTTGGATTCGTGATGTATGGACATGCTGTTTTGGTTATTTTTTTACTTCCGCAGTAGCACTTTAAAAAAAATGTCATTTCAGGGTCAAAGGTATTTCCAATTAAGTCCCTTTCTAACTATCTTTCTGTCATAACAGGCCATGGATCATCTGCAGTCTTTTATTGCGGATTGTGACCGAAGGACAGAAGTGGCTAAGAAAAGGTTAGCAGAAACCCAGGAGGAGATCAGTGCTGAAGTCGCTGCAAAGGTAAGAGGTCCAGGCATTTTGCTAGAACATCCAGCTAGTTCTGACCCTCAGCTCTTTTTGGCTTATGTTCACGTCTTAGTTTGAAATTGTAGATTCACAGGCTCCTTTTTAATGTTGAGTTTCCACTGTTGTGTATGTGTTCTCCTCAGTTCACTACTTTTAATGAATGTTTTTATTACAAAATTTCACCCTACACATAATACAGAAAAAGTACAGCAACAGACGGTCTCAGTGGACTCACCAAAAGCTCTTGTTCCTGTGTATGGTTCATTACACCAAAAACATAATCTAGATGACATTTCACCTGCGAAACAGAGCCACAATATCACACCCAGAAAGTGAATGTTCTTTGCATGGTTTCATGTCTTGAATATGCTGGTTTCCTTTTTTTTTTTTAA